CAACTTTGGTACTGAACTTGATATGGATGTATAAACTGATCCTCTGATCTTTAGGATTTCCTCAGTAAAGAAATTAGCAAATTCATTGCAGGCCCCGGTGGAGTGGAGTTCAGGAGCCACGGACACAGGAGGATCTTGTTAACTTGTCAACTGTGGCAAATAATGCACGAGTATTATTAATGAAAGGTTCTCTGGCAATGCTATAAGTGAGCGAGCTGACTGTGGCAAGATGGCCACCATGTGTGACGAATAATTGTCTTGATGCCAAAAAGAGCCCAACAGATTTTACTTTCACAAGGGACCCCAAGAGCGAAGGTGCCAAGGAGGGGCCAACCCAGGAAATCCGACCCCCACCAAGGGAGGAGGAGAGACGGGCCCAAGTAAAACTCCACCACTGCAATGCCGGAGCCCCCGGGAGCCTCAGGGACAAGTCCGCGGGCTCCGTCGGCAGCCAGCCACCCCGAAGTGAATCCGGCCCTGGGACCCAGGGATCTGAGGACCCAGGGGCGCCCCACCCCCCGGCAGGAGCCCAAGCCACGCCCCGGCCGGCCTGGCCCCACGGAGAGGCCCCCAGGAATGAACCAGCAGCCACCCAGGCATCCACCCACAAACCCCGAGTTCCGCCAGTGCACCGGCGAGCCCAGGCTCCAGCCAGCGGAGGGAGAGCAGGACGGGGGGAATGGGCTCTGCACTTAGTGGAGACTTGAGATGTGTTTGGGAGAAGAAGCAGTTAAGACCCCAACCTGGGAGAGAAAAAAAAAAACTCACAGTCTCAATCACGTCTTCCCACCCTAGTGCCCCCACTCGCACCACAGAAAAAAATAAAAAAAAAAAAAAAAAAAAAAGCGGACGCACATTCACTCATAACACTCAAATCCAATAATCCCAGGACCAAAGACCCTGCGTCACCGGTGGTTGTTTCCAGGATTATCAGATGATCCAATAAGTGAACCTAAAATCCGGATGGGGGGGGGAGCGGCGACACCCCACACCAACCCATCTCGTTCCTGCTTCGAGCCCGGCCCCCCACCCGCACCCGAATCAGACCACCATGAAATTAGCCCCCCCGCACCCACCCCCAACCCCCCAGAATATGCCCTAAATAGATGTGTGTTGTGAAAATGTTGTAGATGGAAGTGTCTAAAATGCAAAATAAAATTGGGGTGGGGGACGTCATCAGAAGGTGGGCCCTCCAGTAAAAACACCCTCCCCAAAAACCTACATGTGTGGCAGTGTGATCTGGCAGAGAACCTACATGTGTGGAGCAGGCAGAGGGAGGATTTTGGGGATGGGGAGCAAAGGACTGGGGAGCTTACTGCACTCCCAGGGAGCCAGCTCCCCCGCTGACTCCAATAGGCCCCCCGTTCCCCGAGAGCCCCACCAGGGAGACAACCCGCTTGCACCATGCAGAACCCCTACCCCGCACGAAGCCCCGCCAAGGGACGGCACAGACCAGGACCGAGACTGGGACCCAAAGCTTCTAAAATCCTCTTCCCTCCACCAACACCCCCACCCCCCCTCCAGAGATGTGATCCCTCTCCTACATTAAGGTTCAAACCACTCACCACACAAGCGAGAAAAGACATCCAGGCCAAGATAATTCCCACTCCCCTTCCATCCCCTTCCCCCACTAGCAGAGTGCAAACTCCTGAAGGGGTAAGCATCTGCCATCAGGTGTTAATGTCTGTGCCCCCCCCCAGCCCAAGAGGCCCCGAGGCCACCCAGCACACCAGAGGCCCCGGCAGGGTCCAACAGCCGGGCATACACCGGCCCAGACCCCAAGCAGAATTCCCCACAGAACCCGAACCCCTGATGCCCCGCCGGAGCCCCCACCCAGGGCAACGTGCCCCAGGGACCCCAGACCCCCGGACCGACCCTGGATCCACCCAGCAGCAGCACAGCTACCAGGCCAATAACCCACGTCTGCCACCATGGAACCCCCGAGAGCACCGCAAGCGGACGCCATAGGATAGGCACCCCAACTTCCACCCCGATGGGAGTAACAGACCCCAGGGTCAGACCCACCAGTCACCCCACTCCGAGCGCCCCCGGAGCCCCCCAGGACCCAAGGATCCCTGACACAATTCCAATATCGGCAGCTTGGCTAAACATGACAAGCAGTCATGATGCTTTCTCAACATTTAAATCCCAAATCCTGAGCCTCAGTTCTTTGTTTTTACCTACTTTCAAACTGCCTCAGCAGAACCATTCCTGCAGCGGAGGCTGGAT